GTTGTGTGCCTTTCAGTCATTTCCAATCTATGGCAACCCTAAGGCAAACTTATCCCATGGGTTTCTTGGCAAGATTTGTTCAGAGGGTTTGTCTTTGCCTTCCTCTGAGAGAGTGTGACTTGCTCAAGGTCACCCGGTGGGTTTCCATGGCTGAACAGGGATTCAAACTCTGGTCTCCAGAGTCCTAGTCCAACATTCAAACAACTACGCCATGCTAGCTTTCTGTATTCTCCCAATAAAGGACCTAAAAATGAACGGGAGAAATTAATGGACAATTAGTGGCCAGAGCCCCTTTAAGTAATTGTAGCCCTGCGATTCCACATGAACTGCCATGGCTACGTCCTGTGGAATCTAAGGTTTGTAGTCTATTGAGGCACTAGAGCTCTCTGGCCAAGAATTGTAAATTCCCTTTCCTAAAGAGGAAGGAACTGGCAAAACCACCTCTAAGTATCCTTTGCTCAAGCAAACCCAATGAAATTCATAAATCGACAGGCAACTTGAAAGTGCATACACACAGACACACACAACAATGGCCTAAATATGTTAAAGGCACCAGATCCTGTTTGATCTGGGAAGCTAAGCATGGTCAACCCTGGTTAGAACTTGGATGGGAGACTATCAGGGAATACCAAGTGCTGGAGGCTCTGTTTCAGAGGAAGGAAGTGGCAAAACCACCTCTGAGGATTCCATGCCTAACTTAGGGTCCGTGATTCCTGTCCTCTGAAATTCATAATAATAATAATAATAATATAATTTATAAATTTATATAAAATTTATATTCATGGGGTTGTCATAAGTCGACAGGCAACCTGAAGACACGTTGACACACATGAACCTCAAATCCCAGGATTCTATAGGATGCTGCCTTGCCAGTTAAAGTGGAACCATTGTGCTGCAATTGTGCAGTGTGAAGGGGCCACTGGAGAGTGGTATTGCAGTCATGGGATTCCCAGAAGCCAGTTGCACACTGTGTGTGAATCCAGAAGCTGAGGTCTTTTCACACTAAGCAATTATAACACTATGATTATACTTTAATTGCTATGACTGCATCCTATGGCACCCTGGGATTTGTAGTTTGCTGAGTGAAGCACTCAAGCTCTCTGGCTGGAAGTTGTAAATGTGTGTATATGTGCCTTCAAGTCATCTGTTAACTTATTGCAACCCCATGATTTTCATAGGGTTTTCTGAGGCAAAGAATCTAAACACCTCTCTCTAAACTGCAGAGCCCAAGATTCCAAAGAACAGAACCATTCTGGCTAAAGTAGAATCATAGTACTATAATCACCTTGCGCAATAAGGTCTAGATCAGGGGTAAGCAACCTTTCCCCTTTAAGGGCCAAGGGACTTCAGCTCCCACAAGCCTCAGCCATGTTGGCCAATAGTCCCATGTTGGCCAATAGCTCCTGGGATTCTGGGCGCTGAAGTCCCTCGGCCCTTAAAGGGGAAAGGTTGCCTACCCCTGGTCTAGATAGTCCTTTGGGTAGTGAGAGCCTGGGAAATTTACTCTTTTGGACTACAACTCTCAAATCCCCTGGCTATGCTGGTTTTGGAGAGTTATAGTCAGACAATCTTGAAAGGGTCCACAGAGGCCATCTAGACTTATCCACTGCCATGCAGGAATACACAATTATAGCACCCCTGAAAGACACCCATCCAATCTCTGTTTAAAGACCTCCAAAGCATGACATAGTGGTTTCAGTGCTGGACTGTGACTCTGGAGTGCAGGGTTCAAATCCCTGCTCAGCCATGGAAACCCACTGGTGGGTGGCCTTGGCCAAGTCCCACTCTCTCAGCCTCAGCAACAAAGGCAAACCCCCTCTGAACAAAACACTGTGGTAGGTTTGCTTTTGGTCACCATAAGTCAGAAACCACTTGAAGGCACACAACAACAAACATCCTTCAGGGGCAGTTTATTCCACTCTCAGATAGCTCTTACAGTTAAGACATTTTTCCTAATGTTCAGTTCAATGTCTTTATGGATAATTTGAACCCACTGGTTATTCTTGTAGTTTCTGGAACAGGAGAAAACAAGCTCGTTCCATCTTCTACATGACATCCCTTCCCCGTGCATCTGTGGAAGTAGGCTCAAGTCTCTGAAAGCTCCTGCAACCAACATTTCAGTTAGTCTCAAAGGTGCTACAAGGTCCTTTTGCATGATGACATCCCTTCGGGTATTTAAAGATGGGCATCATGTTAACTCTCAGTCTTAAACATACCCAGCTCCTTCAGTCATTCCTCATAAGTCTTGGTTTCCAGACCTTTGATCATCTTGGTCACTCATTTCTGGACACATTTCAGTCCGTTTACATCCTTCTTAAACGGTGGTGTTCGGAACTGGACACAGTAGTCCTTCAGGCAAGGTATGTTTAAGACTGCAAAGCAGCATAGAGTTGCACTACTACTTCCCTTGATCTGGACACCATGCTGCATCCCACTGTTGACTCATGTTCAGCTTGTGGTCCACTAAGGCTCCAATATCTTTTTCACAGGTGCTGCTTTCAAGCCAAGTGTCAGACATCCTATATTTGTGCATTTCATTGTTCCTACCTAGATAGAGTACCTTGCATTCATCCCTTGTGAAATTAATTTTCAAAGCTTTGGTCCAGCTCTCCTGTCTCTCAAGGTCATTTTGAATTTTGATGCTGTCCTCTGGGGTATATTTGCTAGCCCTTCCTCAATTTGGTGACATCTGAAAAATCGATAAGGATGCCTTCTGTTCCAGAATCTAAGCCATTTATAAAGAAGTTGAACAACACCAGGCCCAGGACAGAACCCAATGGTACCCCCACTAGTCGCTTCTCTCAACAGCAGCTATTAGGGAATACTCGGAGTTTGATGGAGTCTCTTTCCTTGGAGGTCTTTAAGCAGAGGCTGGATGGCCATCTGTCGGGGATGCTTTAATCGGGAGTTCCTGCATGGCAGGGGTTGTACTGGATGGCCCTTGTGGTCTCTTCCAACTCTAGGATTCTATGACTCAATAGCAATAGCAAACCAGGGGCATTGCTAAGGGTGTGTGAGAGGTACAGTCCACACCGATACCATCTTAGAGGGGGTGAACACATGGTGGGGCAGTCACTCACCTTCCGTCCCATGTCCCCCTGAGTCGTCTGGGTCTGCCAGGGCTACTGAGCAGACTGGGAAAGGGTCTGCAATGTTGGCAGCAGCAGCAGCAGCCATGGACCCCGCCTCTTCTGCAAAATCGCAACCCAGCTGGCAGCACTACCAGACCCAGAAGGCAGCATCAGCAGCCCTCCATCTCCGCCATTGCTTGCTGATGGGAAGGGGCTGCATTATGGGTCTTGTTTCTGCCTGGCCAGCAGCCCCACCAGACCCAGAAGGGGTTGCCGGGTGGCAGCAAAACCCACCATTGCAGAGGCAATTTAGCTGGCAGAGGGGGGCAGCTGGGTTGTGTGCCTACCAGTCTGGGGGTGGCTACACTGGGGTGACACCAACCCTAGTGATGCCACTGCAGTCAACCAATTGTGAATCCTCCTAACAATAGCACTGTCTAGCCCACAGTTCACCAGTTTGCCTGTAAGACTATGGGTGAGTGGTGCTTTTTGTTAAACGCCTTACTCAAATCAAGATATACTACATCCGCAGCATCCCCTATCTACTAGGCATGTAACTCTAAGATTAGACTTTCCAAGGCTCTGGGAAATAGCCCTATCTGAGACCTTGAACAGGCACTACAGTGGTCCCTCCACATTCACTGGAACTAGGATCCCTCCTTGCGAAAATGGAAAAATACAAATAAAGAAACACTAGTTTTTTTTTAAAATCTGAAATAACACATTTCCTGGAATCTCTAGGAGGTCCTCCAGCGCAACTCTATGATCAACATCTGATGGAAGCTGACCATAGAATTGTGCTGGAGGACCTACAAAGACCTAGAGAAGTATTCTCTGTAGGAATTTCTAGGCTCTCCAGTTCAACGTCTGGCAGAAGTTGCCCAAAGAGTCACACTGGAGGACCTAGAGATTCCTAGAAAGAATATATCAATCAAATCCGTGAATACTCAAGCCCACAAAAGTCAAAGCTGCAAAGGTGGAGGGCCAACTGTGTTAGTCAGAGACAGGACTAAAAGGGAAAACAGATTTGGGAATCATGCAGCCCCAAATGTGAGATTGGACTGCAACACCCAGCATTCCTTACCCTTGACAATGCTAACTTGGGGTGCTGGGAGGTGGAATTCAACAACATTTGGAGGGCACACAGACACAGACACACACACCACCGACTATCTCAAGATATCTCAAGGCACAGTCATAGGGCTACCCAAAATTACAGTGCTGACATCCATGTGTGTGTTAGATCAGCCTCATACCTTCCGCTGGCCTTGGATTCTATTCCGACTGTTGCTTAGTCAGCCAGGGTTGAAAAGGAGATGAGGCAGCAGCCATGAGTAATCGGAGAGCATGGATTTCCTGGAATGCTATGCCTCATCATTGGTGTCATTCTCTAAAGCAGGGGTAGGCAACCTTTCCCCTTTAAGGGCCGAGGGACTTCAGCTCGCAGAATCCCAGGAGCTGTTGGCCAACATGGGACTATTGGCCAACATGGCTGAGGCTTCTGGGAGCTGAAGTCCCTCGGCCCTTAAAGGGGAAAGGTTGCCTACCCCTGCTCTAAAGCCATGCACTTTTAGAGTATTTGCAAAAGTTACTTGTTTGGACTACTGCTTCCTGAATATCCGCATGTCTGCTAGAGGATTCTGGGAAGTGTAATACTTCTATTACATATGAGGCATATTTAAACACACCAGTCTTCCTCCTGGGAATCTCCTTACATATCATCTGCTCCATTTTTACATATTTGTGCTAAAAGGATTATTGAAATATTGTTGTTGTTGCCACATACCTTCAAGTCATTTCCAATTTATTGCAACCTTGAGGCAAACCTATCACGGGGGATCTTGGCCGGATTTGTTCAGAGGGGGTGCTTCTGCTTTCCTCTGAGGCTGAGACTGTGTGACTTACTCAATATCAGCCAGTGGCTTTCTATGGATGAGCAGGAATTTGAACCCTGGTCTCCGGAGTCATAGCCCAATGCTTAAACCATTAAACTAAACTTCTACAACTTGGGCTGCATCTGCACTGCAAAAATAATGCACTTTGACACTGCTTTAATTGCCATAGCTCAATGCTGTGGAATCCTGGGATTTATAGTTTGTTGTGGCATCAGGCAAAATATCTCACAAAATGACACATCTCAGAATTCCAAGGCATTGAGCCGTGGTGGTTAAAGTGGTGTCAAACTGGATTATTTCTGCAGTGCAGATGCAGCATCTAATTCACTGACTTCCATGTAACCTAAGTCTCACAAAGCTACACACAGTTGGCTAGTTTTTCTATTTTACTGATGGAGCACTGCCTAGGGGATTCTGGGAGCTGTAATACAGAGAAGTGACATCCCTACAGCTCAACAAAGGCCTAGCAAGCACAAGGCTATGGCTGCATCTGCACTGCAGAAATAATCCAGTCTGATACCACTTTAATTGCCATGGCTGAATGCTATGAAATTCAGGGAATTGTAGTTCTGTGAGACATTTAGCCTTCTCTGTCAGAGAGCTTTGGTGCCACAACAAACTACAATTCCCAGAATTCCACAGCACTGGGCCAGAGCAGTTCCAGTGGTGTCAAACTGGATTATTTCTGCAGTGCGGAGGCAGCCTAAATTTAGTTATGAACAATGTAATATGTTTGGTCTGCTCAAAAGTAAGTTCCCACTGCACTTACTTTGAATTTACTCCCCAGGTAAAGGTAAGTAGTAGCAGCCATCCCCAACCCTGGACACCCCCAGGATGTGTTGTATTAAAACTCTCAGCCAATGTCTGTGCTAGCTAGGATGATGGGAGTTATAGTCCAACACATATATAGGCCGCCAGGGTAGTGAACGCACATGTGTGCATAGAAGCACTGTGGATTAAAATGCAGGAATGCAAAATGCAATGCAATAAAATAACCAAAGTGTGACACAATACTTGTTATATGAACACAGAGAGGAGGTTACAAAAAAACAAAACAAAAACACCCAAGAAGTAACTTTTTTGCTACAGTGTCCCAAAATAAGGAAGCGCTTTTCATGTCTTCAAGTGCCATTTGGTATTGCAAGAATTCAAAGATATGTATATTGCAAGTTACCTGTTGCTGCAAGCTCTCTTTTGTTAATGGTTATGCAGGGAAATAAAACTGGTTTGGGATTTTTACCTTGTGCAGATAAGTCACAGACAGAGGAGAAATTCAGATTAAAAACAAGGAACACCCAAGTCCCAGTTTTCTGGATTTGTAGGGAAAGGCACCTGAAACTGAAAGGGAAAGGAACTCAAAGACAAACTTGGACTCAAAGCACAGAAAAGTTACTCATGGGACTACAATTACCAGAATCCCCCCTGCCAACAGCAACTAACCTCCTGTCCACCTGCTACATCTGTAACTTATTAATGCAAATAGATGAACAGTTCCCAAACTCTGGTCCTCCAGATGGTATGGACTTCAGCTCCCAGAATTCCTGACTATTGACCAAATTGGCTGGGGCTTCTGGGAGCTGAAGTCCAAAACACCTGGAGAACCAACGTTTGGGAGCCAGTGCAAAAGATGAATCAATACGCTAATGAAAACAGGAGAGAACAAACTGATATGTTTGCAGATTGTACATAAAGTGCTACTAAGGTACTATTCAGATCAATAGTAAAAATGAAGATAGGGAAGGAATAAAAATAAAACACTGAAAAGCTGTGTAAACAACACTGGAAGCATGCAGAGAGCTCCTAGAAACATCTTATTTTTATTATGGCATTAAGATCACTGTGCGGATGGAGGAAGGAGAGATATCTCTGTGATACAGAGTAGTTACAAGTTTCGTCTCATGTTTTTTCCTTCCTTGCAGCTATGCAATAACATGTTTTCCATTTGCGGAAATACAAAGTATTGAGCACCAGCCACCTGGTGCATTGCTGTATCTGAAGCAGTTCTTGGAAACCAGGTGAGCAGCCAGATTCAGTCCAGGGATGCATCCAGATTGGAGAAATAACCTGGTTTGGCACCATTTTAATTTCCCTGGCTCAAGGCTATGGAATTCTGGGAATTGGAGTTTGTTGTGGGACCAGAGCGGAGCTTTTTGTTGTTAACTGCCCTCAAGTCGATCTGGACTCATGGCAGCCCTCTGGATGAGGCCTCTGCAAGAAGAAGACCCTCTCTGCTC